CTGTTAAAGATAATAAATATTTAAGGTAGAGTGAAAGAGAGTTAGCGGTAACATCATTTGTCAGACGAGGACAGCGATTGTCGGCTGTGCGACGCTTTTAAGCCATTGCGCATGCGTCGAACGTTAGTGTTCTCAACCACCGGGGAGTAATAGAGACGACTTATAATAAATACTCCAAAAAATATGTAATTTTTTTTCAAAATGACAAATTTAAAAATTGCAACAAATTCAGCCCAGAATGGCTGGCTGGTACTAGATGGTTTTTTAAAACCAACATGGTTCCTGGGAGACTCATCTCCAACGCAAGTTAATAGTGTGCTATGTGAATCCATGAACAAAGCTACCGATAACGACGATTCTGATATTTGTAGCGAGAAAGTGATAGCTCCGATGATAGTACAACAGAAAGCTCCGATGATTCAGATTTTTAAATAAGAGTTACGGAAATATAAGAGTTATAAGATTATTTTTTTTAATTTGCTTAAATGTTTAATTAATATGTAATAGACAATCAATTACTTGAATAAAATCTAATAAAATTTTTAAATAATACTTTCGCAATAAAATTTTCTTTTACTTAAGTCACCTTGGTTTTATTTTTTAAATTAATATTAAATATCGACGTTCTAATTAGCAAATTACTAACTCCATTTTAGAGAATCTTTTATTTGTACGAAAAAACAATGACTTCAAAATTTATTATCATTTTAAAAAACCATTTAATATCATTAATATCTAATAGAGATATAATTTTTAAGTTTGAATCATTCAAATAATTTGTAATTGGATTATGTCTTCATCAAAGTGTTAAAAAAATCACCCTGTAAAAAATAAGGAGTTAGACAAATTGCTAACTAGACCGTCGATATATCAAATCAATATTAATTTTTTGTTGCAATTTTTAAATTTGTCATTTTGAAAAAAATTACATATTTTTTGGAGTATTTATTATAAGTCGTCTCTATTACTCCCCGGTGGTTGAGAACACTAACGTTCGACGCATGCGCAATGGCTTAAAAAGCGTCGCACAGCCGACAATCGCTGTCCTCGTCTGACAAATGATGTTACGCGCTAACTCTCTTTCACTCTACCTTAAATATTTATTATCTTTAACAGCCAGTAGCCCTTATTTGCGGCCAGATTTAATTAAGCAACTTTATATGATAATTATAGAAAAAATTAGCTTCAATTTGACATATAATTAATAAAAAAGGTTATAAACGTATAAATTTATCGAAATCATACCTGTTTACACCTGGCGCAAAGAGGTGCGGCCATGTGCGCAACGGCACCCGTGATTTTTTAGAATCTTCATATTAATTACCGTGATGTAGACGTTATTTTATTTAAATAATAAATGAACGCAATTTTTTACCAAAAATCAATTAAAAATAATTTAATTAAAAATAATGGCGGCCAAATTTTGATAGGCACCCTAGTAAATATATATTCTCTTAATTATAAATAAACATAAAAATTTGGTTTTTAAACAAATAGTGATGAGCGCACCAATCCTGCAGCGGGATCTTAGACCATTATATTTGCTAGATTAAATCTGAAAAATTACATGTTTTGATTAAATAATGTAATCATTTTTTTGAGATGCAGGTACTTATTAAAATGTTTACTTCTCTGTAATATCGCTCCAAGCCTCATTTCTCCTTATTATATTCGTGCTTAAATCTTTGTTCTCAATTATTAATATTATGGTCGTAGAATATTTCTAAAAGTTGCTGTAACAAACGCAATAAACAAAAGTTAATTAAGTTCATGTTTCAGTTTTAATCAACAATAAAACTCGATAATACATACGGATAGTTAACCTCAATTGTTTGAAGCACTCAGGAAGGTTGGCACAGTTTTTTCACAAATATTTTATCATAAATTAGATTGATTTAGATATTCAATTTTGATTATAATTCAGACACATATAAAATTCGCACTTGTATAATGAAAATAACTAGGTACTTTTAGAATCTTTTATTTTAAACAATAATTCAAACTCCTATATTTGTTTAAAAGGTAAATGTCATTGTCAGATGTCAATTGTATGGATATTCAAAATTCTTGTTAAGCTGCTAAGCTAAGAAATAGAATATGGTGAAGTTAGCTTATATTCTATTTTTTTTAGATTGGACCTATAATCACACTCGAATTTTGTTCATAGGTGGCCCATCGTAAAATTTCACTCTCATCAAATTTTCATAACGCGCCTAGAAGTATAACTTCAAAAGGGTGCGTGTACTTATTAGGTAGAAGTTATACTTCTTTGGCTTTCTTTATTTTTTTTAAATATTAAATAATTAATAACAAATATTTAACGTTAATAATTTAATAATATTTAATATTTAGTATATTATTCAATTATTTTATTTATTATTTTATTATATTATTCATTAAATTTAATAACTACGTATGTTTCATAACCTTTTAACTAAGTAACAATAGGTCTTTGTGAAAAAGCATTGCTAAATTTCTTTGAAAAATAATTAAAACTCCTTTATTTGTTTAAAAGGTAAATGTCATTATGTTCATTCAAAATTCTTGGCATAGCTGCTAACTTCACGCATATTCTATTTCTTTTTACTTGGCGCATCGTAAAATTTCACTCTCATCAATTTTTCATAACGCGCCTAAAGAAGTATAACTTCAAAAAGAATTGGCCAAATTGGTCCAGGCGTTGTTTCTCAATTGAGGTCCGTTAAGTTTCTCATGTAAATAAAAATACATTTTTTGTAATGAGATATAAAGTTCTTTAAACATTATTTGGATGGTTTAGAGTTGTTCTCGGGAATTCAAACCTAAAGTTTCCATATTTTAGCGTATTTAAATCCAAAAAGTACCCACTCGTGTAAAATTCTTGTAGTTTAAAATGTAGGTAATGTGGTCTCTAGTTGTAAAATATTTCTAATATGTATTTGTGTATAGCTACTAGTCACTCATTGGCTTGCCAACAATAATGTAGGGTAGGGAAGGGTAGTTTAATATGGAAGCAATAAAGATTTTAAAGCTGTTCCGTTCTTCTTGTCTTCTTTCTTCTCCGTGGGGGGCAGCAAAACGTCAGGTCCATCGTTTTGTCGTGTGGACCGCACGCACACTTCAAAAGGATGGCCCTCACGTCTCACAGTGTTCTTCTGAAGTAGCTCCAAGGGCGCAAAGGGACATCCGAGACTATAAGAAACATTTATATAGGAAACATGATACGTGGAACACGAAACGAATAAGAATTGCAGCTTCTTCTCACCTCATCCTTTTGCATATTCTTCTGCTCGTACTATCTGCCAGAAGGCTCGCAAGTGCGTTGCCGGCCTTTAAAGAATTGGTACGCTCTAAGTCTGAGAATCGGCTACTATCTATCTTTCAAACCCCTAAAGCCGCATTTACATTTATCTGACGTGTTGTGTTGTGATGCATCAGAACGGTATCAGTTTCATACATTTAATATGGAAGCGTTCACATTTATTCAATGCGGTGTGTTATGACGGCTTCTGATGTGTCGTGTCACAGGCGATCCCGGTCCGCGTCAGAAAGGGTGAGGTGCGGGGGGCGGTGCCGTGAGACGTCATACCGCATCAGACTAGTGTGCACGCGCCAGTGTTGTGTTATTACGCGTCAGAAATGGACGAAGAGCAACTAATTGAATTTAATTAATTTAATTTTTAATTTAATCGCCCCTGCTCTCTCTTTTTCTATTTACGGGATGTATCCAATATCTTCTTCTTTTTCTTTGTTTAGTTAGAAGCGTTGCCAACGCCAATAATTCCAACTCTTCTTCAAAATCTGAATCTGAATCGGATGATTCTTGAAAAAACATTGCAAATGTGTGAACTCTCTGGGAGTCAAGACGGAACTGATACAAAAAACCGTCATAATGCATCATAACACGTCATATCAATCTGAACAGTAGCCATCACGACAGAGAGCATCACAACACAACACGTCAGATAAATATAAATGCGGCTTAAGTGATAAAGGGTGTCCACCCGTTAAGATTTTTTTAAATTTTTTAACAAATGTTTAATGGATAATTAAAGCTGTTCTGTTCTTCTTGTCTTCTTTCTTCTCTGTGGGGGGCAGCAAAACGTCAGGTCCATCGTTTTGTCGTGTGGACCGCACGCACACTTCAAAAGGATGGCCCTCACGTCTCACAGTGTTCTTCTGAAGTAGCTCCAAGGGCGCAAAGGGACATCCGAGACTATAAGAAACATTTATATAGGAAACATGATACGTGGAACACGAAACGAATAAGAATTGCAGCTTCTTCTCACCTCATCCTTTTGCATATTCTTCTGCTCGTACTATCTGCCAGAAGGCTCGCAAGTGCGTTGCCGGCCTTTAATGAATTGGTACGCTCTAAGTCTGAGAATCGGCTACTATCTATCTTTCAAACCCCTAAGTGATAAAGGGTGTCCACCCTTTAAGATTTTTTTAAATTTTTTAACAAATGTTTAATGGATAATTAAAGCTGTTCTGTTCTTCTTGTCTTCTTTCTTCTCTGTGGGGGGCAGCAAAACGTCAGGTCCATCGTTTTGTCGTGTGGACCGCACGCACACTTCAAAAGGATGGCCCTCACGTCTCACAGTGTTCTTCTGAAGTAGCTACAAGGGCGCAAAAGGACATCCGAGACTATAAGAAACATTTATATAGGAAACATGATACGTGGAACACGAAACGAATAAGAATTGCAGCTTCTTCTCACCTCATCCTTTTGCATATTCTTCTGCTCGTACAATCTACCAGAAGGCTCGCAAGTGCGTTGCCGGCCTTTAAAGAATTGGTACGCTCTAAGTCTGAGAATCGGCTACTATCTATCTTTCAAACCCCTAAGTGATAAAGGGTGTCCACCCGTTAAGATTTTTTTAAATTTTTTAACAAATGTTTAATGGATAATTAAAGCTGTTCTTTTCTTCTTGTCTTCTTTCTTCTCCGTGAGGGGCAGCAAAACGTCAGGACCATCGTTTTGTCGTGTGGACCACACGCACACTTCAAAAGGATGGCCCTCACGTCTCACAGTGTTCTTCTGAAGTAGCTCCAAGGGCGCAAAGGGACATCCGAGACTATAAGAAACATTTATATAGGAAACATGATCCGTGGAACACGAAACGAATAAGAATTGCAGCTTCTTCTCACCTCAGCCTTTTGCATCTTATTCTGCTCGTACAATCTGTACAATATATCCACCATGTTCGTCTGTAACACCATTCCGCCCATAACCAGGTCATCCAACACCTGTTGGGTGGCGTCAGCGTGAAATATCAAATCCAACTCGCAGACATTTTCAAAACACTTGTCCAACATTTTGAGGAATACCTGAAATCATTATAAAGACAAGCGCCGTTAGAGAACAGGGGGCAAACGAGCAGGAGGCTCACCTGATGTTAGGCGATACCACCCAAGAACACTCTTAATGCCAGAAGACTTGCGAGTGCGTTGCCGGCCTTTAAGAATTCGTACGCTCTAAGTTTGAGAATCGGCTAGTACTAGGTACCTATCTTTCAAATCTAAATTTAAAAAAAATTGTTTTTATTTTTTAATGTATCATAAAAAAATACATAGAATGCTTAATTTTTTTTTTTTTTTATTTGTTAGCTAAGAACTTATAACTTGAACTCTGAGGTTTATATAGAGAAACACCACAGAAAAACCTGAAAATTCTATTCCGGAAAACCGAACAGTCTCTGGAGTAGCATAGCAAAATGTTCCATGTTGGTATGTACTAAAAAGGTAGGCTAGGATTAAGGAGAAACGAAGTTCGCGGGGGCAGCTAGTTCAGTTATAAAAATAGGTTCAGTCAAGAATATCTTTGACAGTTAACCAATGAACACTTTGTATTGAAAATTTCATCTCTACCATAGCCCAATGGATGAAGTTGGCGTCCACACGCCACTTCGACAAAGCTAAACATAAACCCAACCCGTTGGTGCGTAAAAGCATTAATTATTACCCCTTCCCGACAAAAACAGGCCCGTAGGACGCCCCGACATGTCCTAACGGATACGGACGATCCGTTAACGGTAGCTAACGACAAATAATAGTCAAAATCAGAGTAGGGTAAAAAACCGCCGTCACCGGGGAAAGCATGGAGGGCGAGACTCGGACCTCGGCTTAGGGGCGTCGCGGGATAGTCAATCACATGTGAGCGATGTATGAAGATAAAATCCACGCCTTCCCCGGTGAAGGCGGTTTTACATATGCACAAAGCCTAACTGTTTAAATTAATAATGAAATAATGAATTCAGACAACATATATGTTAAGAACGGTTCTATTTCCGCAGCTCGTAGTCAATATTAATTGTAGTTTTGAAATCTTTTGAAACATACCTTCCACCATCTAAGAAAATGCAGACATTGTCATCTCTCTTTGAGACAAGTTGAAACGTCTCTTTTATTATCTCTTGTTGCATATCTTCGTTTTAAATTTATATAAAAATATTCACTCCATTAAAAACTATACTACATTCATTCAGCGTAAGAGAACGAACTAACTTCCGGAATGACATACCTACATACTATTTTATTCCAGAGACGTGAAAAATTCTAAAATGTATTATAATATGTCTTTCGTTTTAAGTAAAACAGATACAGCGTTGTTGGATTAAATGTAGCCACACCATTTTAATCTAATTTTGCACAGAGACATCTGTGCGATAATTAAAAAACGCGTTGTTACGGAACGTAAAAAAGGAATGTCACTTTGACACAATTTATAATGCCGGTCGTCAATCGTCATCCTAATTCCTGGGGCCTTAGTCAAGATGCCTTAACAGTAGTGTATGTTGAAAGTCAGAAACGAAATTTGTATGAAAACTTTTCGACACGAACTGTCATTTCCATACAAATTTAGTTTTCGACTTTCTACATACACTACTGTTAAGGCATCTTGACTAACCCCCCTGGAGGCGGTTTGGCAACAGTTTGGCGGCGAGTGTGCTTTGCCCTACGAGTGTGTCTCCGCTGGTGATAGCAGCGTTGCATGTGATTCGTTGCAGATCTAACCAGCCCGTAGGGAATTGCTTTGACTGGTTCCAGAGCCTTTACCGAAATATTAAATCCTAAACACTGACATATTTATATGTCATAGTTATGCTATCGTTTTTACATATGAACAACGCCATCTATTCATAAAAAAAATTAAATGATGAATTTAGACAAGAACTTTAGTTAAAGGAGTGCAATTATAGTTTTTATGAATAATGGGGATACTTTGATTCTAGTTTTAGAGCTGTCTTACAATAACAGTGAATATGAAATCACTTTTTAGTTGTCCTCAATAAATTGTAAATTTAATTTATTCACCAACATAGAATAAATTATATTCGCATTAACTGCCTAATGTCAAATAAAGGATATTAAAACTGGAAAGAAACTCTGTCATTTATTTATTTATTCACACAGTTAAATTATGATATTAACAATAAACTTAACAATCTCTTCCAGGCAACCCTTATTAAAAAACAGTAATGAATAGAATTGAGAAGAAGTGCAAGACTGCAAAAACTGATTGTTCTAGAATATTAAAGTATAATAAAATTGTTTACCCATAGGTCCTGGTAATAAAAAAAATATTATAACTGTTCCATGAAAAACTATTATCATAGCCATTAAAGAAACACAGACAGAATTTTTTATCAATGAGTTACAGAAATTATATAGATATAATCATTTAAAATATTACAAATCAAATAAATTACAATACATACTGTTTTGTCTTGTATTCAATTGAAGTCTAACGAAGATCCTAATTTATAATATTTCAGATTCAAATTACTTACTGACGCCTCTTGATGTCCTGAACACTAGCTTTTAACTAACCAGGAAACAAAGGACTGAATCTAAGATACAAATATAGCTACGCTTTCCTAGTAAAAATCAATAATGCCCAGCAGTGTTGCCAACTGCACCGTAACTACAGCAAAGAGCTACCACCTACCGTACGATTATAATTATGGTAGCAAAATACACCGTAATACCCATTGAAGGTTATTTTTTTTAAATATTGTAGATATACGCGATTATTATCTTTTAACTAAAATATTTTTAGCGACTTTGTGCAAAAAAAGAACAAACTACCTACATAAAAATATACAGTAAAAGAAAACCTAATAATATACATTCTGTAGCACCGTAGTTATTTTGAATAGTTTGTACCTCGATGATTTAACCACCTCGGAGTTAGTCACATGTATATTTTGTTAAAGGAGAGGCCTCTGAAATAGTAGAAACGTAGACCAAATACAGTGCGTATTTTTCGGGTTTTAAAGTATGAATATTTGGTCGTTGATTTTGTATACTAGGTAGGTGTTTTCTTGCTCAGAGTGTTTATCGAATCGAAGGCAGGTTACAACAATATATAACTTTTGTACTGAACAAGTATACGTTTGGTCATCGAATCTGGCCGTGGGATATCTAGCATTATTTCAGATTTCTTCCTCTAGCAGTTATGCAATAAGTGAACAGGAATTGGCGAAGAGAATGGAATATTAACTTCTATAGGCGCATGAGGGTAAAATTTTACGGAACGTCACATCTTGTGCAGCGTTTTTGTCGAGGAAAACGGAGAGAACGATTGAGACCGGTTAAGAGAGAGTAAGAAGGGCGAATTACCTTATAGTAATTCTATTTTTAACCATTATTTTCTTCACCATTAAGTAAATTATTGTATGATTATTTTAAAACGACGATGCCTATTAAGATAAATCTATTCATTCACATCACATCGAGCAAATTTTGTTCAATGTCAAATAGATAGCATTTTTCTTTAGAAAATTTAAACAGTAACAGTTTTGTGATACATACTGTTTCATTTTAATACGCAATACATATTTATAATTATGAAGAATTTATTTTATTTTGTGAATCAGTTTGGCCAGCTCATAGCAAGTCTTACATTACCGAGTCAGTTTATTATCAAAAAATTCTTATACGAATAAGCTACAACTTTTTTATTATATTTTCCGCTTATTAGTCAAAATGTAACAAACGCATAAACACAATCTAAATAAAGATTAACGAATAAATAAACCAAAGTAGACCCAAGCGAAACGGTTTTCCTATTGAACGTGCTTTAAGCCACAAAAATTTTCTCAGTTGACTGTGAGCGAAGTATTACGTAACGAATTTTTTTTCCTTTTGTAAAACGTTACGATGCGGGGCGGGGATTGAAATACGCGTTATTGTTAATATTATTTTCGACTTTCCAGTACTTTACAGCACATATTGGTAACTTTTAGCTATAAAGAGTCACAGATGTGTCAGGCATAGAAAGCTTAGCTATTATGAAAAAAAAACTGAGATAATGACCGAGGGAACAACGGCGTCAATACTTGTACTTGTTTTATTATATTGCGAATATTATTGTTAATTTTGTGGTCGTAGTTTTCATTAGGTAGTTCTTGCTGGTAATGTTAAAGATTGATATCAGTTTTTCATGTAACTTTGATATGACATTAAGGTTTAAACTTTAAACACATAATCGAGGAATAAAAAATATCTTTACAAATCAGATATACGTTTACAATAAGTGTGTTTCCGGGGTTAAGATTTAATCTCTGATGCATATTAATAAAATACCGTAAATTAATTATTATCATTAAACACGTACAAACAAGGAAATAAAGGTCTTCTAGAATGTCAAAATTTTAATATTACTTTTGTAAATTAACATTATATACATAAAAACTGCTAGCGTTTAATGTATCAACACTTAGCATATATGCTTTACTAGCGGACCCGACTGACATGTGACGTTGACCAATGCACACATTCTCAAATCCACTTGAATACATACAAATAATTTCATCAAAATCGGTCTAGCCGTTTAGGAGTTTAATTAGAAATACAAAACAAAAGATTTATATATATAAACTAAATCAGTATAAATACATACATTTTATGGATATCTTTATACCTACTAAGTTTATAATTACATAAACAATATTTTCTTAGTTAGAAAAAAGTTAACATTAAACTAAAAATTTATTTTTCTAAAAGTTAACAAATTTTCATTATATTGTAAAATATTTAATGTTTCATGCAATATACATTGTTAAATATAAATCATAATTTTGTTAATCATGATAACACTGAACTTATTACACCTAATATTTCAGCTATCAATGACTCAAAGAAATGCTAACTCAATTGCTTATATGTATGTGCTACTTTTAAATGATTTTTTAAATCAACGTTACTATTAACTATATGTCTGCATAGCCTGCAGCAATATCTTCCTCCATGCAATTTTTTCATATGACATTTCATACTCGACTCACTATAAAAAGATTTTGAACACACTGGACAATAATGAGGCTTAATGTCAATATGTTTTCGTAAATGAATAACAAGTGATTTTCTACACATGAATGTTTTATGACAAAATGTGCACTCTTCTCTGGATTTAACATTGTGCAATTTTTTATGACTTCGTAAGTTTTGTTCGGTGTAAAACTGTTTTTCACACATATCACAATTATAAGGTTTAATTTGAAGGTGGACCTTGTTGACATGTAGTGAGAGTTCATTTTCATTTGAATAATCTCTTTCACAAAAACTACAAGTTTCAATGTGCTTTCTATTACTATTGAATTTCATCTGATGTCTCACCATATGCTTAGCAAGAAATGGTTGAGATTTAAAAATTTTATTACATAGTGGGCATTCTACAAATGAATGTTTTTTGTAATGATTTTTCAATTTGTCCATATTTTGAAAAGATCTCCCACAAATCCCACAGCTGGTAAACGTTTTTAAATTGAGTATGTGAACAACTTTTCTATGTTCTGTACAGTCAAAGTTAGATTTAAACTTTTTGTTGCATAAACTACACTCTGTTGTTTCATAAACATGCTTTATTACATGCTTTTTAAGAAAATAATCTGACACAAAGTGTCTATAACATAGAGGGCATGTAAATTTCTGTAAGCGTTTTTTGAGACACTTTTGTTTTCTTTCATTTGTTTTTACAACTAAATTTTTATCAATAGGCATTGACTGTTGAAATCCATTTAAAGAAACTCTTTTTGCATATGTTTTTGTGGCATTACGAGCTGGATTATCTCTAATAATATCATCTGTTGATGTACTATGGGTGCTTATAGCATCACTATCGGTATCTGAATCGGGAATCCTAAATTCATCTTCCAAAAATTCTTCTGCACCTTCTTTCACTAGTAAGTCTTCCCTGATTGCTGGGAAAACTACATTTTGGTTTACTTCTATTAAAATATTTTTATTTTCGTCAACATGCTTTAAGGTTTCTACCATAGTACCTACACATTCATCAAGTCTATTTCTATTATTTCTAATATTTAGTATAAAGATGTACGAAGTTATAAGTTTATTTAGACAATGTTTGCAAATTTTATCTTCAAGAGAGTAGTGTAATGTAATCTGCAACAAAAAATAAAGTTTAAAATAAATACTAAAAAAGCATGTGTGTACAAGTGAAATGGAATAAATTAAAGCACACTATACTAAAGAATACCTAATTAAAAAACTTTGGCATTTGCAACATTCAATAGATGCCTGCCACATGGCCTAGAAGTAAGCATAAATTATTGAATTGAAGATATTATTTTCTTAATGATGGAATTCTTCTTATTGGATTTTTTAATTTTCTATTGATCTCTCCAAGGCCAACATTAAATTTTGTTCCAGTTTGTATCTGTAGCAATGTTATATGATGGCTTGATTTATCTTGTTCTTGTAAACACTTCATATTAATTGTTTATTGATTTCTGATAGTAACATCTTCAAAATACATTTCTTCTTCATAAATTGGTAGGTCCATTTCAATATCCATTGGGCTTTCAGCAGAACTTGAATAACTTGCAAGTTTTTTGTTATGTGGATCTGTGTTATTAAGATGTTTTAAAGTTTCAGTGCTTTTGGAATTAGTTGGCAAACTCTCCACATCTTTAACTGGTAGATGGTTTTCCTTTATTATTTCATATGATAATGTTGGAGTAAATATGTTTCTTAAACTTACAACATTTTTCACATATTTATTTAGAGTTCTGTTTTCTTCACAGCAAATGCATGTTTCTCTGTTAATATTGTTCCGAAGACATATATTACATTGCCAAACAGTTGTTTTGTCAATCGTCTCATCTGATACTACATTTTTTTTATTATTATCCTTGTCTACTTCTACTATATTGTGACAGACATCACAAAATCCAACTTTTGAAAATAAATAACATGAATTACAGCTCTTTTTCTGCAGTTCTCTTTCTTCATACACATTTTGGAATTCATGTGTTTTCATAATGTATTGTTTGCAGGATAGACAAGTAGGCTTCTTAAACACCCAACAAATATTGCAATTTCTGTAATTATTTTCCCCAACTTTTAATTTATAATTCTCTGTTAAAATTGGCTCTAAATAAGATTGGAATATATTTTTTACATGAGTTTCATCCGCTACAGCCTCTTCTGACAATTTTATTGCATTCTCTGTCAAATCATGCTTAATTAGTTGTTGACATGATTCAAAAGATGTTTCATTTTCATATTTATTGATAGTAACGTCTGCATTGATTAATTTAATCTGTTCTTTGAAAATACTATCTCTATTTTCCTTATTATTAATATTGGCAAATATTCTATCAATGTCTGATTCAAATTTCGAAAAGAGAAATCTTTTAACATATTCTAAATTAATAATTTCAAGTTGAGTGTTTCCTAAATCAATCTTCATTTTCTTGATAGACTTTCCTGAGATGTCCCCTTTGCATTTGATTATGTGCAAATTAGATGTACATGTTGCTATAGAACATTCTCGATATTTATATGATTTCTACAAAATTACAGTTTGCGTCATATTTAAGCCCCATGTAATACATATATCATAATACAAGTTATCTATTACGTGTTCATTTAACTTGGATACAAATACAGGACATAAATTTTAGATGGAATTAATATATAATACTAAAAATAACTTTTACCTATGTCTAAAGAGGTTAACTTGATAATAAATAATCTTTAACATTTTACAAAAAGAAAATATTTTCATACTCACATCTGGAAACACTGTAGTAACAATATTGGAAATACTTTTCTCTCCCATAAGTCCAGCTCCACCGCCATGCATATGCATAGTCTCATTAAGATAAACCATATTGTAAGCCTTGTTAAAGCACATTGCACAGTTTCCTTTTGGATTCATAATCAATTCACCCAATGTCTTCGTAAAACTATGTTTTTCTACATGTAGTAAATGTTTTGATAGTGACTCATTAGATATACCACACTGTTTACATGTGAATATATTTTTTTCTAATGTGATATCTTCAATTTTTACAGAATGCTCATTTCGCTTGTGTTTTTTTAATTGGGTGTATTTAACAAAAGCCTTTCCACACTGTTTACAACAATACCACATTGATTTTGGATGAGACTTTTCATGGTTTACTAAAGATGTGATATTTGGAAGTACTTGCCAGCATTTTGGACATTCTAAGTCAGTTAATTCCGAATTATTAGGGAGAGCATTTAAGTTTATCAGATTTATAAGAGGTTCCGCATAATCTATGACATTTTTACATTCCATATTAAGTACATTGTGATTAAAATAAAGTTTAGGTTTTCCACGCCTTTTTAGAGGCTCCATTGGATCTAGTTTATTAAACTTTTCATTTAAATCTTCTAAGTAATTATGTAAGGCCCTCCCAGCTTGATCACATTGCTGGGTGAAAAGATAGCATTGAAAAGCTCTGTCTAAGCAGTCACTACATATCTTATTTGGAAAATTTGTATCACAGCTAAGCTGAAAACAGAAAATATGCTTGAGTTATCATGACCATTTAGAGAAAAAAATTTTGTCAAGCATTACGTCTTTCAACATTAGTTTTGCCATTAAATCTTTCTACTGTATTTTTAATCAATGTAATCTGAGATCATCGGATGTGTTTATGTATTACTCCATAGAGCTTTTATAAATAGAAATGTTAATTATTATTTCTGCATATATAGTATCTACTCATACTATGAGTTCATAACCTCAAATCTTATTAGGGGTAAAAAAAATTAGCACCCGTGGCCGAAATTAATAACGTATTTTTTTTTTACTTTCAACTTATATATAACTAGACTTACCTTGACAGGATAAAAACTGGCTACAATATCTTTAATAGTGACTTCATAAAGCCCACATTTTCCCGCCACTACAATTATTTCATCATGTTCATTTAAGTTTGGAGTTATATTTAAACAATATTTGCATACTCGCAATCTTAAAGTGCCATCAAGAAGAAATTTAACTGCATCTTTCGATGTTAGTGTGTCCTTAATTTCGAATTTTGGGGTCATAAAATATTTAGTTGGTCTGTGTATTTCTGAATATATATTTATTTCTTTGTCACTTTCGGGCTCCATCATATTATTGTCATAATATATACTATTAATAGACCTAAGAGCCTTGCTGTAAAAAAAAAATTAATAATAGTAAAATATTTAGTTCTACTCAAGTTAAAACCAAACATGAAACAATAATTCATAATATGTCACTTTGTCAATTGATGATAGTCGCCATTTTTAGTAAAAACAGATAACTTTTGCAGGAAGCTGTTATAAATTACATCGGCCTTCTATTTTCAATTTATATTTTTAGGTAAGTTGTCGTAGTAATATATTTTAAGACAATATAAATCTAGTTGCATATTGAAATATTAAATTTACATATTCTTACCTAATTACCCAGCGACGAGCGACACAGGTCACAGAGCGACAACCGACAAGTCACAAGAGATAACCAAGAGTTGACAAATGACAATTAGCCCATTTGATCAAAATTTAAATGTCGGACCTTTGCGTCAAATCCATGGATCGATCTGTAACATTGTTTAATGTCAGATTAGAGTGGAAGTGAAGTGAAAATCAGTAAAGAACGTAGCAAATAAGAATTATTATATTAGTTTGCTTAACTGTTTCGCTGGTTCTCTTTCCACACAAATTCTACTAAGTTTTTAATGAGATAAAAATATAAATTCAAACTTCTAAGTACTTTCACTTTTTTATAATCATTGTGATATTTGCATCAACAAAATCAGCTGACTTCCTTCTGTCAAGTGTCACTGTCAAAAGTCTACTAGTTTTTTTAATGGAAACTGTTTTGCCAACTGTACGGTGTATTGTCAATTGCAAAATAATGCAATTTATTTATTGTTTACATCTTTTTGACGAGAAAAAAACATCAACACTGGATTGTTAGTAATGCGTACATCTTACAATATAAATTAAATATGTCGTGGCTTAATTTAAATCAAAGCTTGAACAGTATAAAAGGACAAATCACGAATTTTGCTACGGAAGTCTTAACTGAGGCTGTGGCACCACTTAATGAAGAAGAAGCTTCTCGAAATGATTCAATAACTAGTGATTTACAAGAAAAATGTGAAAAACAAGAGCTCGAGGTAAGGATAATTACCTTCTCAGCACTGTTGTCTTATTGTTGACATTTAAGTTTAAGGTTATGTTTTTAATAATAACTTTATTAGAACTTATCAGAACACACATAAAATATAATTTAAAGCAGTTAATCTTGTCTGGATAGAAAAAACTATTTGTAAATATCATTTCATTGTGTAATAAATTTACTAAATAATTAATTGACTTAAAAAACTTACCCCCTTGTTCATAAAACTTATCAGTCCAATTGCACTCTAACTGAAGTACTCTTACTGTCAAATAGTGCTTACAATGTGATGAAAAGAGTCATGAGATGTGTACTTTTGTTATAATAGACATATAAGGCTGATATAGTATGATATATGCAGAATGTTCAAAATAATGTGATTTATATTTATAAAACATACATGTTCATTTACCATTACTACAAGAGTGACATTTACACATTTCAATAATAATAATAAACCAGTTGTGTTGCAATCATATAAACATCTTGGCCTCAGATTGGATCTGTTATTTTTCTTCTTTTTATATACAGAGGTAACCTTGCATGCCTGACATAGATGGAGTTTTGGATTTAAGATTTGCAGGTTTCCTCTCAATTAACCTTCATGATTAAACAGTATTGGCCTTCAATTATAATTTATATACTTAATAATATATTAAAAAAGAGAAAAAATAAAACACAATCTAATTTGAAATTGTTGAAAAAAAGAAAACTGATTGAACATAAAATGTATATTAAATTGTGTGTTACTAAGAACATTAATTTTATTAACACTTTTGACATATTGATAGTACTAAAGACAATTAATATTTTGTAGAATTTTACCTTAATAGCAGACTGCTTTTATGAAGTTATAAGGTACTTGGCAGGTAAAAGCTACTAGAATTAGTTCTTGTGATTTCTGTGCTTGTACTAACTTGTACTTTTCCTCTTGTTACACTTAAACATCAATATTTTACAAATTTGCAAGTACTGCTATGGGCTCTATTAGCATAGTAGCAAGGCATGGGACACTTCAATCAGAGATTGTGCTTTTAAACTTTAGATGTGCACTAAAGGATTTTCTATATACACAATTAATATTGGATCCCTTTTGATCAGATTTGACTAATACTGACCCACAATAGATTAAGGAATGAAGCACATCTGAGATGCAAAAATGTGGCACAGAAGGCCACTGTCTTATATTATATTCCTTGTTGTTTTTGTCCTTTTGTGCAAAACTAATTTTTACTAAGCATTCTAATACAATTTACCAGCCAAGGCTTCTATCTCTCATCATGGAAAACCATGGTCACTTGATCACATGCTTGATTATTGTAACTTGTGACTAAATGTATAAATTTATTGACAAAAGCTTCCATCATTCCACTAATTTTCCCAAACATCAGACTCTGTGATAAACACTTGAAAAGAAACATTTAAGTGGCTCAAGAAAATAAAAAAAGATTTTACAAATTCATAGGTATAATAATATAATAATAATATGTAATTTTTACATAATTTTAATTTTGAACTAGTGTCTCAAGTGAGTCGATGACACAGTCAACCCATCTGTTTGCCCAACTTTGGCAAAGGCCTCCTCCATTTCTTTCCACTCTGCTCTGTTCTGAGCTTTCCTTGTCCATATTTTTCCAGTTTTTATTTTGTGGGTGCCAATATATGATCTTTTTGTTCCACTATTCTATATAGGGCATCGAAACTCGGTTCAATTTTGAAAACCCGGGTTTTCGGGTCGAAGAGTAATCAAAACCGGGTAGACCCGTTTTTTCAAGCATTTCGGTCTTTTTATTGAATTTTTTTTAAATGCACTAATCTGCGTTTATATATCGATTTCTTACAATGAATACAAAATATAAAGGATGAGGAAGAATTTAAATAAATGAAACAGTACTTTACAAATTACAAAAACAGTTTTAATGTTTAAAAAAGTGATAAAGATTTATTTTTTCTCCAGAATATCTTAAAACTTAGTAAGTAAGCTAGTCTTTTTTAAATCACAGACTTGCAGAGATTAGTTTTAACATTAAATGAATTATTTTGGTAACATTCACTTATTGTATTTAACAGCTAATAAAAATAAAATCTTCAAAAGACATTTATGTAGTATCACAATTAATTTTAATATTAATAAAGCTCTTCTTCGCATTAACAATTAAGTAACGAATAGTTCTAGTCTTCTATTCTAGTATAATTTAAATTGCAGTCGTTTGCTTAATAATTAGGTCTTTATATAATTAACTAAAATACTAAGTAAAAAGTAGTTATGCATTTGACACATTATTTAAACAACATAGTTAAGACATAACCTCTGACCATCTGACCACTTTAGAAAATAAGAGAAGAACGCTCTCGCTGTCGCGTACCGCCATTTTCGAAGAGTGCTATTTCTACCCTCACAGTAGTAAGCAAATCGTCTGATGGACAAGCTGATCCAGTTTCAGGAGCATTATTATCAGTAGCAACAGCTTGACTTAACTGTCTGTTCAGTTCCTCTTCAAAGTAGACAACTGAATGTCAATTTCTCGCAGGTCTTGGTCTGGCGCTGGCAAATTTTCAAGAGGTATATTTTGTTGTTTGGTTGTGCGTATAATCAGATTAACAATTTCGTTTAGCATTCCATTACCTGTAGGCCGATAAAAACAGTTTTATCTTCATTTTGAATGTTCTCAAAATATTTACCCGGATTTGTCAAGTACTGTAGTGTTGCAGTTTGAGTTAGTATTTTTTTTGCGTATCGTTTGCTTAATGCAGTTGCAATTTGTTACTTAGTGGTGTCTTCATTTCATCCATTTTCTTAAATGCAAATTTTAGGGAAACATCAGGTGTAAGTAATGTTGCATCGCGTCGACATAGCGCCTCGACGACAGTTTTAATAACATCCAATATTGTTTGGATCTCATCTTTATTTCTCCAGTCGTCATCAGTAAATACAATACCTGTTTTTAAATTAATTAAAGCTTTTAATTAAAAAAAATCATCACCGGCAACACCCCGCACAACGCGCGACGAGCTTCGCTACACCCTCCCCTCTTCACTGCTTCACACTTCACTCTATCCATGTCTCGAGATGGACGCGCGGAACGCGAATTTAACTTGCAAGGCTTGTTTTATTGGTAGGAACGTAGCAACGAAGCTACTTTTTACGTAATAAATAGTAATTTATCAAAGCGTCTTTTTATTCCATTTACTTATTATTGCATTCGAAGTGGCTTAAACTTAATAAATAACAATAACAAAAGTATTAAAAAAAACCCGAAAAACCCGAGTTTTGAAAATTAAACCCGGGTTTTTTTGTAATCCTCAGAACCGGGAAAACCCGGGTTTTTTCGGTCCGGGACCTCTTATTATATGACCAGCCTATTTCTATTTCAATCTTCGTATCCTCGTTGTGACGTCTTCAATTTTGTGGTTTGTAGGCATGTCTTCAGTTTCCTGGTTTGGACTGAGTGCCCAAGTTTGGCAGCCGTATGTTAAGGCTGGAAGTATGCAGGTGTTATTTGTCCTTTGTTTTGATGTGTATTTTAAATTCTGTGTTTTTCATTACTTCCTTAAGCCCCCAGTAACATTTCCATGCTTTCCCAATTCTCTCTTTTGACATTATATAGGTGGTTGAGATTTGTTGGCCCAGGTATGTGTACTCTTTCACATCATTAATTGACTCTCCATTTACAATAATAATATCGTCTTATGCATTCGTCATGGCTTTAGTTTTGGAGGTGTTCATTGTTACCCCTACCTTGCGACTTTTCCTCTCCAGGTCTGTGATCATAATTCTTAGATGCTTTTTGTTTGTAGCAAATAGTATCATGTCATAGGCGAATCGTAGGTGTGTTAGTTGTTCCCCGTTGATATTTAGTCCGTACCCATCCCATTTTAATTCTCTGAAGATTTCTTCTAGTACAGCTGTGAATAATTTAGATGATAGGGGGTCTCCTTGACGTACACCCCTGTTTATTTTATT